GGTTTTAGGAGCTCTGTGCCAAGAACAGAGAAGACCAAATATATATTTCTTATTATAAATCACAATATCACAATAACCTTTGTGGGTTTTTTTTCTAACTTTTTATTATGAACAATGTCAAACACACAAAAGTAGAAGGAAACATATAAGAAACCATTATTACCCATCATCCGGCTTCAGCAATTACAAATGTATTGCCAAACTTGTTTCGTCTATACCTCTGATGTGGGCAACAAAGACAGAAGGAAATGTAGATAAAATTAAACATCCTTATAACCGGCAGCCCACTGACAAATACTTGAAATAGGCAGATTATAACATTCCTCCAGGATCCTGAGTCTTCTTTAGCATATGAAAGTCCTTTTAGAATTTCCCTTATCTTTATGTCCCCCGCAACCCCAAGGTATATAATCTGTTGTTCTTCACAATCCCCGGGCAGCAGGGAGCAGTGGGGCTCCATCCACAGCAGCTCTTTCTGCCCAGGGGTCCTGTCCCGGTGCTTTATTAATAAAACCACCTTTTTTGCACCAAAGACGACTCAAGAATTCTTTCTTGGCCATCAGCACCGGACCCCACCAACCTCACCGACATTCCAAAAAAAGCAAAAAGCAAAAAACTACCTCACCTCTGCCTTTGTTTTTTAAGTTTATATATATTTTTAAAATATGAGAGAGAGTGAGCGGGAGGGACAGAGGGAGAGGGAGAGAGAATCTCAAACAGACTCCATATAAGCAGGAGCCTGACAGGGGGCTCGATCTCACAACCCTGAGATCACGACCTGAGCTGAATGAAAGCAAGAGTTGGACATTTTAACCAACTGCGCCACCCAGGCACCCCTGCCTTTGTTTTTTTCAGTATAATTAATTTAATTGTAAGTTATAATAATAGCATTAAATGTTTGATAGAGGCTGTATTTAACAGCTGGCTTGTAAAATTTCTGAAGTACTAACAACTGGCTAGGGGCACTTGGCTGGCTCAGTCGGTAGAGCATGCAACTCAATCTTGGGGTTGTAAGTTCGAGCCCCACGCGGGTGTAGAAATTATTTAAATAAAATTAGGGACACCTGGGTGGCTCAGTCGTTAAGTGTCTGCCTTCGGCTCAGGTCATGATCCCGGGGTCCTGGGATCGAGCCCCGCATCGGGCTCATCACTCAGCAGGAAGCCTGCTTCTCCCTCTCCCACTCTCCCGGCTGCTCCCCCTGCTTGTGTTCTCTCTTTCTCTCCCTCTCTCTCTGTCAAATAAATAAAAATCTTAAAGAAAAAAACCTAAAATAAAATTAAATTAGGGGGCACCTGGTTGGCTCAGTCGGTTAAGCATCTGACTTTTTTTTTTTTAAGATTTTATTTATTCATTTGAGAGAGAGAGAGAGAGACAGAGAGATCACAAGCAGGGGGAGAGGCAGAGGAAGAGGGAGAAGACTCCTCGCTGAGCTGGGACCCCGATGTGGGGCTCGATCCCAGGATCTGGAGACCATGACCCGAACTGAAGGCAGATGCTTAACCATCTGAGCCACCCAGGCGCCCCATAAGCGTCTGACTCTTGATTTCAGCTCCAGTTGTGATCTCAGGGTTGTGGGATTGAGCCTCACCTTGGGCTCTGGTCTGGGAGTGGAATCTGCTTAGGACTCTCTCTCCCTCTCCCTCTGTGTCCCCCTACTACTTACCCAACACGTGCACTCTCTCTCTCTCAAAAAAAAAAAAAAAAAGGCTCAGAAGTGATAAGGGAGTATCCAAGGTTTTGGACTTTAATCATTTCATCCCTCTTGCAAGGAGCTTCCTAACTCCCAGCCCCAAAATAACCAGTGTCTCCCATTTCACCCTGGGGACCAAGTGCTTATTAGAGCTGGTCTGGGAAGGCTGTATACCAGGATTTTAGCAACTCCACCAGCAGTCAAAGTGAAGCCTGGATCCACCATTCCAGAGTCAAACCCTGGTCAAACCCTGGTCCCCAGTGGGGCCTAACAACAAGGAACCAAAATCCCTCTGTGAACCCAGAGAGGACTCAAGCTAGTCTTGAAGTGACAAGACACAGGTAAGTCTTTTTCCTTTTGGCTGTCCTCTCCTCACAGCATGTGGGGAGTTCACGAAGACATCCTCTATCTCTCGCCGGACCCCTGGCTGTACTCAAGTCTTTTATTGTGCACTGGGCCTTGCCTCCTAAATGCCCTAACCCACTTCATATTTTCCATAAGGTCAAACCAGACACCTGCAGGGGACCCCTTGATAGATCTGGATGAGAGGAACCCTGACTGCTGCCCCATCCACGTCCCTGACCAGCAGGAAATAGCTATGGTCGGTCGTTGGCCTTTTTCCCTAAGAGCAGTTAGGGTTACCTCTTCAGACGGGGGATAATGAAGGATAATTGGAAGAAAGGCAGGCGGGGACAAGCCTCCCCCCCCTTCCAACACTCTTTTACACCAGCCTGGAAGGAGCCCTCCACCCTTTCCCATATGACAAAAACCCAATTGGATGACAGGCTCAGGGAGGGTTCATCAGATGAAAACAGCCCGCCAACAAGCCCATGAAAACCCCTAGACTTAGAAATTCCAGTGGCGGGCGCCTGGGTTGCTCAGTTGGTTAAGCGACTGCCTTCCGCTCACGTCATGATCCTGGAGTCCCGGAATCGAGTCCCGCATCGGGCTCCCTGCTCAGCAGGGAGTCTGCTTCTCCCTCTGACCTTCCCCCCTCTCAGTTTCTTTTTCTCTCCCAAAAAATAAATAAAATCTTTAAAAAAAAAAAAAAAGAAATTCCAGTGGCAACCCCTTTGGGTCCCCTCCCTCCTTGGAAACTTTGTACTGTCACTTTGCTATCACTTTGCTATTGCTCAATAAACCTTGTTTTGCTGCCCACCAAAAAAAAAAAAAGGCTCTTGTAGTTGGTTCCAGCACCCCACTGTCCTTAAGTTTGCCTTTGAGGGGTCCACAATAGACATACTATGGAGAGAGCCCAGATGTCCATTGACAGATGAATGGATAAAGAAGAAGAAGATGTGGTGTATATATACATAATGGAATACTAGTTAGCCATCAGAAAATGAAATCTTGCCATTGCAACACGATGTAGATGGAATTAGAGGGTATTATGCTAAGCGAAATAAGTCAATCAGAGAAAGATAATTATATCACTCATGTGGAATTTAAGAAACAAAACAGAAGATCATAGGGGAAGAGAGGAAAAAATAAAACAAGACAAAATCAGACAGGGAGACAAACCAAAACTCTTAACTCTAGGAAACAGGGTTGCTGAAGGGGAGGTGGGTGGGGGGATGGGGTTACTGGGTGACAGGCATTACGGAGGGCACGTGATGTAATGAGTACTGGGTGTTATATAACACTGATGAGTCACTGACCTCTACCTCTTGAAACCAATAATACACTATATGTTAATTAATTGGATTTAAATAGAAAGGAAAACAAAACAAAAGTTGCCTTTGAGGGGAGGCTGGCTGGAAAAGAAGAGAAATTAAGGACTGCTGAGGCCCATTCATCTGCTTCCTTGCCTGATCCTCCAAAGGGGATCCCCATGGAGTCTGAGTGGGAGACTGGTGGGCTCAAACATTCTAGGAAATGGGCAGTGTCAATGGCAACTGCTGTGTGACAGCTCTGAGGAAGCAGATGTCTCTGTTCTTGAAGGAGGGTGGGTCAGGCTCTTTCATTTATAACATAAAAAAACTCAGGCAACTGGGAGTTTGCTCAAGGCCACAGTATTGTCCTGGCTCTAGAACCCGCTGCCCTTGCTAAGCCTTTCTCGTGGGTCTGTGTCTCATGGTTTCTGCCTCTTTCTGTACCACCGTTTTATCAGTCAGGGTCTCAGCAGGGAACAGACTGTACGCTCGCTCTGGTTAATTGAGGTGAGTTTAATAAAGGGACTGTTTACAAAAAAGTGGGCGGAGTTGAAGGAACAGACAAAGGCTCATCAATTCTCTAAGCCCCTGGTGTGTGTGTTGGGGGGAGTGGAAAGGGGGCCCAGGAAGGAGGAGTGCAGTGACCTGGTTTCTCACACGGGGAGGGAGCGCTGCCTTCTGGGCTCTGATTTTGGCTGCTTCATCTCCTAACTACCTGCAGGCAAGAAGTGGGTACTCCATGTTTGTTGAACGAATCCTGCATGAAAATCTGGAATGCCCAAATATGCAAGAGTCTTGGGGTCAGACATGGTGAATTTGAATCCTGCCCCTGAGTGATCCTCAAGTGACCTCAACCCTCTGAGCCTGGGCCCTCATTGGTAAAGCTTGCCTGGTGGGGTTGCCGGAAAAAGACAGCTACTTCCTATGCTTAACTATGTGAAAGCAGTCTTCAAATATTTGCTATACGAATGCACTCTGCTAAAGCGCTTTATTCCTGTTGTCTTTCATTAGCTAATTAATTCCATTTAAAAGTACTTATTTGGGATGCCTGGGTGGCTCAGTCTGTTAAGCCTCTGCCTTCAGCTCAGGTCATGATCCCAGGGTCCTGGGATGGAGTCCCACATCGGGCTCCTTGCTCAGCGGGGAGCCTACTTCTCTCTCTGCCTGACGCTCCCTATGCTTGTGCTCTCTCTCTCTCTCTCATAAACAAATAAAAAATTTTAATTCTTTTTTTAAAATTTTATTTATTTATTTGAGAGAGAGAATGAAAGAGAGAGAGAGAGAGCATGAGAGGGGTGAGGGTCAGAGGGAGAAGCAGACTCCCTGCTCAGCAGGGAGCCCGATGTGGGACTCGATCCCGGGACTCCAGGATTACCTGAGCCTAAGGCAGTCGCTTAACCAACTGAGCCACCCGGGTGGCCACAAATGGAAATTTTTAAAAAGTACTTATCTTTTGAGCATCCATTCTAGGCCAGGCACTGTTAAGAGTCTGGAGGTTGGACCCCTTCGTGGGCGTGGCACAAGTGGGCGGGGCTCACGGATTTCCCGCCCACGACAGCGAGGTCCAGTTGGGTCTACGGAGGGCGCAGAGTCCCGCCCACTTCGCTGGGGCAGGCCCGGAAGCAGGGTTGGGGAGGCTGTGTGTGTTTCCGGTTTGGCCGGAGGCCCGGCTGCCGAGGCCCCTGCGGATCCCGCTGCTGTCGGGTCCCTGCTGGGAAGATGTTCTATCACGTAAGCGGAGCACGGGGTGGCGGCGAGGGCAGGGTTGAGAGGAGGAGCGAAGCGGGGCTCCGGGACGAGGAGTTGCTGTTGGCCCCGTGTCCCTACCGCGCCTTGCTTGGTCTCCCCTCCACTTTTCGCCGCAGATCTCCCTGGAGCACGAGATCCTGCTGCACCCGCGCTACTTCGGCCCCAACCTGCTCAACACGGTAAAGCAGAAGCTTTTCACCGAGGTGGAGGGGACCTGCACCGGCAAGTGAGTGCCGCGCGCTTCGAGGCGCCCGATGCTTGCAGCCTCTCCCCAACTCCTGCTCATCCCGCAAGGACCTGCCACCTACCCTGGGGAACCCTCCCACCCTCTCAGGCACCCCACGCAGTCACTTGCTTCCTGCTTTGGGTTCCCGCGGCGCCCTCGGCAAAGCTGGATCGCAAGACTGCTTTACTTTAGCAGAGATTGGTCATTCATTTACTCCGCAAACATTTCTAAATTTCCTGCTGTGTGCCAGGTTCTGTGTTGGGCCCTGGGAACAATGCAGGGAACGAGATGGAATGAGGCCAGCTCTCAGTGGGGCTCACAGCCTAATCATTGTTCCTGTGTCTGTTCTCCCTCTGTTATTCTTCTGGTTTTTTCCAGCCCACGTGACTGGCATGGCATATCTCTGGGCTCTGCACACAGCGGCCTCTCACATGGTGATGTGAATGAGCTGGGATGAGCCCGGGGCCATGGAGCACATGGGCCTCCCACATCCGAATAAGCACAGGCAGGGGCGCCTGGGTGGCTCAGTAGGTCAGGTGTCTGACTTCAGCTCAGGTTCTGATCTCAGGGTCCTGGAATTGAGTTGCATGTGGGGCTCCACACTCAACGGGGGGTCTGTTCCTCCTTCTCCTCCTACCCCTGCTCATGCTCTCAAATAAATAAAAAATAAAATCTTAAAAAAAAAAAAACAAAAACACATGCAAGTTCCTGAGCCTCATCTCATCCCGACAGAATCAAGACTGGGAACAGACCCTGGGAATCTGTGTTTTAGTAAGTTCCTCTTAGGTGATTCTGAGGCATGCCCAAGATTGAGGTCTCTTGCCTCAAGGACTGCAGCCTCCTTGGACATTTATTGTGAAATTATGAGAGCAGCATTTGGCATTATAGATACTGATTGGCGTCCTGTCTTCTCTCAGGCATTAAGTTCTGGGGACAGGGGTGCCATCTCCTGCCCTTTGTGCTGTCCCCTAATCCCCATGCTCACTGTCTTGTTGCAGATGGTTTTAGAGGCTCTTGCCCACACAGCGCCTTTCTTTTTCCCATCCTCCTTACAGGTACGGCTTTGTAATTGCTGTCACCACCATTGACAATATTGGTGCTGGTGTGATCCAGCCAGGCCGAGGCTTTGTCCTTTATCCGGTTAAGTACAAGGCCATTGTTTTCCGGCCCTTTAAAGGGGAGGTCGTGGATGCTGTCGTCACTCAAGTCAACAAGGTGAGACCATACATAGCGGAGGCAGTTGGGTGGCTGCTCAGAAGATGGGGGATGGGTCCCGCCTGCTCTTGCTAACTCTGCGTCCTTGGCTAAGACACTTTGTACTTGAGTTTCCTCACCTGTCAAATGGTACATCACCTGTGCTGCCTCCCTCGGGGTCATGGAAGTCAGTGTGAGTGGTCGGCAATAGCAGCCTCCATGCATTGAGTACTTACCGTGGGCCAGGTGTGGTGCAAAACCTCATGACGACTGAGGTGGGTGCTTTTCATCCCTTTTTATAGAAGCTTACGCTTGGAGAAGTTAAGTCTACTGGCCAAGGTCATGTGATCAACAAGTGTTCAAATTGTGAATGGATAGGTCCCAAGCCTTGGCCCTTGATTGCACTGAATTTGCTTCACTTAAAATGAAATCTTGGCAGAAGAGAGACATGAAAGCAAATGATCCGACTCAGAGTGGTTTCAAAACATGGAGAATATTTTTGGGAATCAGATAAAGTTGGGAAGTTTAGAAGAGTTGGGGGATAAAAGACAAAGCAAAGTTATTCATTGTCCTCCTAGGTTGGGCTCTTCACAGAAATTGGACCCATGTCCTGCTTCATCTCTCGACATGTAAGTCTGGGTGTGCCGGGGGTGCTAAGGAGGAGAGGTGCCAGTCATGACCATCTCTGGAAGCACCCGTGTAAAGCGCTGACCCAGTCTTGCTTTCCTTTCAGTCCATCCCGTCAGAGATGGAGTTTGACCCCAACTCCAACCCCCCGTGTTACAAGACAATGGATGAGGTGAGTGGGGAAGACCGTGAGAGGGGGGGAAGAATGAGCCCTCCAAGGGATTTTTGGCTTGGGGGCTATCTGAGTTTCCTGTTCCCTCTTCCCCAGGACATTGTGATTCAGCAGGATGATGAGATCCGCTTGAAGATTGTGGGGACTCGTGTGGACAAGAATGACATTGTGAGTCTCTTGCCTGCCTTCCTGCCTGTACCAGGCAGAGCTGGGAGCTGTTGATTTCTTACCACCCAGGGTTCCTGGGGATTTTGTGCTCTTCTGCCAGGAGGAGGGGATGGGTAGGCAGAAGGCCTGGGGCTACGGGTTAGAGGCTAGTTCCGTGCTTGCTCAGGCTTTATTTCCTTTCTACCTTCCCTCCTGCAGTTTGCTATTGGCTCTCTGATGGACGATTACTTGGGTGAGTGCCTGATCATGCATCCAGGGTTGTTACCTGGAGAAGGGGTGTGTGGAGGCAGGGGGCAGTTGTGGGACTTAATGGCCAAGTCTCAGATGAAGAAAACTCTCATGACTGTCTGCTTGGAAGATCCAGGACATGTGCCTCATGGGATGGGGGATGCCTGGTGATGGCTGCCCCAAGCTCTGAGCCTAACTGATGTGCTTTTCCTGTTCTCTGCAGGGCTTGTGAGCTGAGCGCCGGGGCCCCCTGCTCTGTTTGGTCCTTATCTAGGAGATGTGACGGTCACGCTCCTCATGTTGTCCAGAGGCCTAGTCTGGCTGCTGTAGGGAGGCAAAGAAGGTTCATTGTCCCCGGAAAACATCTGGTTCTTCTTGCTGCTTAGCAGCCACCCCCTCCCCAGATTTTCGACTGTGCATTCTAACCATAAAAGGTCCTTTTTCTCATGGAAGTGTTACCTCCTTTCTTTGGTAAGAACAACTCTTTCTTAGAAAAGGCTGGAGGCCAGTTGCTTGCTAGCCTCTCTTTTGGTGGCCTCATGCCTCAAGTAGCCTCAGCGACCCAGGGGGTCTGACTAAACCCTTCTTCAGAGGGCTAAAGTTGACCTCGTTGAAGGGAAGCCACCAGTGTTAGGTCTTTGGCTTCCAGCAAATGATTCTGCCTTTAGAGCCATTCCGAGTCCCCATCTATTTTCAGAGTATTCGCCCTTCCCTCCCCCTTAAACATAACCAAGGGTATCGCTGGGCACGAGGGGAGACAAGATCGTTGGGTAGGGAGAGGCAAACAAGAGGGTAGTAATGACCCAGACTGTGGCGTCCCAATGTAGCCCTTCCTAGAATGGCTCCACAAACAACAGAAGCCTTTATGTGCTGATCAGTCCCTAAGCTGAACTGAAAATGTGAGCAGCCTCAGAATGTCCTTAGGGTGACACGGCCAAAATCCATGAAATGCACATACGACTAAACAACCATGCTTCCCTCCCTCACAGTACGCTCACGCTGCTTTTGTAATGCAGTTTGTCTGTCTTGGAATGCCCTCTCCCAGCCTGTCTGCTTGTTTCCTGCTTACCTAGCAAATCTCAGTCAATAATTCTCCTCCTCCTCCTTTTTTTTAAAAATATTTATTTATTTATTTAAAGATTTTATTTATTCATTTTACAGAGAGAGAGAGAGAGAGCACAAGAAGGCAGAGAGGCAGGCAGAGGGAGAGGGAGAAGCAGGCTCCCCGCTGAGCTGGGAGCCCGATGCGGGGCTCGATCCCAGGACCCAGGGATCATGACCTGAGCCGAAGGCAGCGGCTTAACCGACTGAGCCACCCAGGCGCCCCCCTCCTCCTTTCCTCCCCCTCCCCCCCTCCTTTTTCAGCAGAGCTGTGTTGTAGAAAGCGTGGTACTTGGGTTGAAGCAGAACTGGGTTTCAGTCCTAGCTGGGTGACCTTATGTTTCCTCATTGTGAAATGGGCATACAACCCTCTTTGAAGATTTTATTTTTATTTATTTGTCAGAGAGAGAAAGAGAGCACAAGCAGGGGGAGCGGCAGGCAGAGGGAGAAACAGGCTCCCCGCTGAGCAAGGAGCCCAATGTGGGACTTGATCCCAGGACCCTGGGATCATGACCTGAGCCCAAGGCAGACGCTTAACAGACTGAGCCACCCAGGTGTCCCCATACAACCCTCTTTGGATGGTTGCTGCTAGTGTGAGGTCACATGTGCAGGTGGCTTGCATAGAGTCTGGCCCATGATAGGCCCTCAACTGTTAATTGTGATTATTGTGATATAATGCATATAAAGCAGTGATTATCAGCTGGGGTGATTTTGCCCCCAGGGGACATTTGGCAATGATGTTTTTGGGTTGTGACAACTGTGGATGGTATTGCCTTCTAGTGGGTAGAGGCCAGGGATGCTACTAAACATCCTACAGTGTATAGGACAGTGCACCCCCGCACCCCCCAACAAAGAATTATCTGGTATGTTCGCCTCAATGCCGGCCGCCAGGATCTGTGGGGGAAGGGATAGGGCTTTGGGGACCCAGAGGGCAATGAAGACTTGCTACCCCAGTGCAGCACTCAGGCCCAACTCCCTCCTGTCTAATTCCTACCTTTCCATTTCCCCTCCTGTGAGCCCGTGCTGCTTTAGGGCCCCACCTCTATATGGACTGTTTGTGGCAAGCCTCTGTGCCTTATCCGCGCTGTTCCCTCTGCCTGGAACACCCTTCCAGCCTTTTTTTTTTTTTTGCCAGGTTCACCCTTACTAACTGTTCCTAGCTCTGCCCAAGCATTTGCTACCTCCAGGAAGCCTTCCTGAAGCCCACTTGATCCCAACTGCCCACCTGGGCGCCCCCAGCACCCTGTGCTTCCCCAGAGGACTGAATTTCCTCAGTGTTTCCATCCTCCCCACCACCTGGGAGCTCGGCTCCCAGCCAAGGCCAGGCCCAGATGTGTGCTCGATAAATATCTGAACAGATCCTAAGTCTTTGTCTTGCACCCCAAGGAAGCACCACCAATGTCCCGTGTGGCCAAGAGGGGCCAAGGGCCCTGGGCCCCAGTCTGTGTCAGAACTCCCCCCAGGACGAGGACCCAGCCTCCCTCCACTTGCTCCCTCCCTGCCCTCTCTCTCTCTCTCCAGTTCTCCACCCCCAGGCTCCCCGGGCCCAGCCACCAGCTGGGCACCCTAGTGGGCAGGACTGCAGACCCAGCCCCTGAGCCAGCTTCCCACACGGCCTCACTCCTGCCCGGCTTCCATACGATGCAGTTCTGGGGACATTCTCATTTGAATAAAAAGGCTTCTGCTGCTAAAAGATAAACTTTCCAAAACGAAACATAGACCTAAGAATAAAGTTCAGATTGCATAATAATAAAAAAAAGAATTATCTGGTCCCAAATGTCAATCATGCCAAACAGAGACGCTGATATGAAGCATCCAGAATAGTGGCTGGAACATGTTAAGAAAATGGCACTTGAATGTGGTTTCCTTCTCCTTGCCTTCACCACTCCTGGACAGATAGATCGAGGCTTTTCCATTCATACCTTAACAGTGTGTCACAAAATATGGGTTTTTTTGTGTTTTTTTTAAAGATTTTATTTATTTATTTGAGAGAGAGAGAATGAGAGATAGCATGAGAGGGAAGAGGGTCAGAGGGAGAAGCAAACTCCCCGCCGAGCAGGGAGCCCGATGCGGGACTCGATCCCGGGACTCCAGGATCATGACCTGAGCCGAAGGCAGTCGCTCAACCAACTGAGCCACCCAGGCGCCCACAAAATATGGTTTTGTTACTGTCTCCCGTTTCTTTTTTTAAGATTTTTTTTAATTTGGGGCACCTGGGTGGCTCAGTCAGTTAAGCGTCCCAGGGTTCTGGGATCGAGCCCCACATTGGGCTCCTTGCTCGGCAGGGAGCCTGCTTTTCCCCTGCCTGCCGCTCCCCCTGCTTGTGTTTCTGCTCTCTGTCTCTCTGTCTCTCTCTCTTGCTCTATGTCAAATAAATAAAAGATTTTTATTTGTTTATTTGACAGAGAGCACAAATGGGGAGAGGCCCCATCTCATGACCCTGAGATCACAACCTGAGCTGACACCGAGAGTGGGACGCTTAACTGATTGTGCCACCCAGGCGTCCCTAACCTCTTTTAAGTAATCTCTACGCCCAACATGGGGCTTGAACTCGATGACCCTGAGATCAAGAGTCGCCTGCTCTACGGACTGAGCCAGCCAGGCGCCCCTCATTTTTCATTATGTAAAGTTTGTTATTTTATTGAGATAATTGTAGATTCACATGCATCCCTTTCTTTTTTTTATCGCCGGCTCCTGGCACTGGGCCAGGTTTTCGAAGTTTGTTGCATTGGGAACAGCTTCTGGGCTGGATTTGCAATGAATTTTTCCCACGAAAACCACCTTATAGTTGTGCTACCACTTGGTGGTACTCTGAGTTGATCACCCGGGTTGTAGGGACTTCCCCTAAGCTGTAAACACCCCATGTGTTGTCACCGAGAATAAAATTCCTCCCGAGTTCTCAGATGGAACCACTCATCTGTAAATTGTGTGTGGGATAACCTGGAAGTAACCCCAGGCCTAGAAAGGAAGCAACTGATGGACGGAAGCAGCTCGTGGAACATGAGCACGTGGGTGGTAGTGAGGATGTGGGGTGTGGCACCCACTAAGAGGGCAGGCGCTGTGGGGGGAAGGGATCGCATACGGATGGCCTGGGGATGGTTTGTAACTGAAAGTTACGGCCTCTTACAAAGGTCACAGGTAACAGGAGTATCTGCCTGCTAATGCTAAATCTTTCACACACGTTACTGGATAGTTCACAACAATCAGTAGGTTCTGTTATCCCACTTGACAGCTGATAAAACAGGTTAGACACCTGAACTAGAATGCCTGAAGTCACACAGCTAGTGAGTGGTAGAGCTTTGGTTTTGTTTTTAAACTCAGTCTGGCTCCAAAGCCATCATTAGCTCTTTTTGCCTGGCCCTAGGTGGCTGGGGAGTGAGTGGGACCCACTTTTATCTGTGGCCCCTATGTGGGTCTCGCTACTGCTTCCCTTGGCCCCTGCCTCCACCCGAGGTTGGGAGCAGATGGGCCCCAGATAGCTTGAATTCAGTTTCACCGTATTGCACAGGCTCCAGGGCCTTCCCCCATTGTCTCCTGCTTCCAAGGTTGCCAATGGCTGTCCAGACTAATAACACCTCAGCAAGGAGATCTGACAGCAGCCCAGATCTTGCTAAGCTGACCTCAGACTCAGGACCTCGGGGGAGCCCCCACCCCTTCCCTTATGCAGAGGTGGGCCGACAGGCCAGCGTTCAAGCACAGTACTAAAAACTACTCCGAATGTCATTCTGAATATAACTGGAAGAGACTCAGCAGGGTCATAGTCTCCTTAGGTGGTGTTGCCATGACAACCCAGCCACATCCATCTGGCTTTCCCAGCTCTGGCCTGGGAGGATCTTCTTTTCTAGAGGCAGCAGCTTCTAACCCTGAGAGGGACGAAGGGCGAGGATGTGTACATTCACGCTCCCCCGCGGAATACTCCTTTCTATAATGAATAGCCCATTGCAAACTACCTCATCTTGGATGAACACAATGGAATTAATTCACTGTCTGCCTCTTGTGTGAAAGAAGGTTCAACCACAACCCTGCCAAGTGCTTTCACAGACATTATCATTTAATCTACAGAATCCCGTGAGGTGGGTATTATGACCTCATTTTGTAGTTGGGCGAAAATGTGGTTAGGTAATTTGCTCCAAACTGGTGGCAGAATTTGAACCCAGGTTGGTCTGACTCCAAATACTATCCTTAACTCACTAAATCCGCTTGGTTCTGAATTGAGAACTGCCCAAGTTCGGGAAAGTGTGTGCACGATTAAATGGTCAAGGAAGTCTGCGAGGCAGATGAGGGGTTATATTTCGCCCACTGAACAGGAATGAGAAAGATAGGAGGTAGGGTGTCAGAATGAGCACGGCCC